AAAGGGAGGGTGGTGAAAAGTAAAGGATAGGCCAGGGCACAGCTGCGGAATTTCCCTCTCTGCGTCGCACCCTCCGTTCACTCGGGCCCCATCCGCACCCGCGAATGTGACCCTGCTAGACACTGGCCCTTTAAACCGAAGGCTGGCGGCGCGGGGTGTCCATGTGGAGCTGCTCCATGCCGTGTTGTCCTGCCCGCCCATTGGCCCGCGGCCCGGTGACGTCGCCTAATAGGATGCGAACGCACTGCGGGGGGAGGAACGGAGACAAGATACGGAACCGGATTGACACTCCGGTCCTCCCGCCTGTTCTCTGGCAGCCTCCTGCCGACAGCTCCGCCCAGGGGCGGATCCCGGGGGAATTGCGACAGGCGGGTGGTTGCAGGAATTAGGTCACGTGTGGGTAGGGAGTGGAGACCCAGGGGTCAGGCCAGTCTCTACCTAAGGTTTCCCGGACCTGGAGTATTCTTATTTGAGCTAACTTAAGTCTTGAATTTTCCACCCTTCCTTCCCTCCTGTAGGACAAATTTCGTTGTGAATGTCCCAAACACGCAGCCCTTGCACAACTTGTGGCTTGCAACCGGGGCGGGGCGAGGCGGGAAAGCGGAAATGCAGGGCGCGAACCGGGCTCGAGCTTCTCCCACCCCCACCCAGGCCACGTGTGCGCGCGCGCTCTGTAGTGGGCGGGCCAGCCCGCTCCGGACCCCGCCCCTCCCTTCGTGAGACGCCGCGGCCCTGCGGGCGGGGGCTCCGGTCCGGGCTTTGGCTGCGGCCCCGGTGTAGTAGCGGGGGCGGCGGCCGGGGGCAGCGCGGCTCCTTCCCTTGTTGTGTGTGTCGGTGCCTCCTCGCCATCTTGTTGCAAAGCCTTTTCTTGTCGGCGGGACTCCCGGGGGCCGCGGGGCGGGAGGCATCAGACGGGAGGAAGGGGGGGGGAGGAGAGGGGCAGTGCCGCCTTTTTTTTTTTTTGCATCAAATTTTTTTACATTTGCAAATTCTATCTTGCAAATATTTTGGGAAACATTGATTTTTCTCCCCGTGCTCCCCCGTTCTTCCCTGCGGAGTGCGCTGCGCCGCCCAGCCCTGTCGCCCCCCGGAGGTGATCCCTCCCTCCTGCCTGCCCGCCAGCCTGACCTGTGCCCGGCTCGCGGGCCGCAGTCTCGGCTCCGGCGCGCCCCCGGCAGCTCTCGGCGCGATGAGCATAGAGACGCTACTGGAGGCGGCCCGCTTCCTGGAATGGCAAGCGCAGCAACAACAGAGAGCACGTGGTGAGCGGCCGGGCTGGGCCCCAGGGGCACCGGGGAAGGGGAGGCGAGCGACCCCGGTCCCCGAACAAACGTGGAACCACGGGCAGGACCCGCTCCTTAGCAGCCCGCGAAGCCGGGGAGCGCAAGGCTCCGCGCAAGAGCCTCTGCTCGGGGAGGAGTGTTGTGGGCAGTGAAATTAATTAATGAATTCATTAACATGCAGCGAGGAACCTGTCTCCTGTGGGCGCCACCCCAGCCGCCTGCCACCCCCTGTGCACCTTTCGCAGGGGGCTTCTTTCGCTTGGGCCAGCGGTGCCCTCGGTAGCGCTAAGGATGTGTGAGCCGGGGGGGTGGGGTGAGGAATGGTGTTGCGTGGAGGTGGCAGACCCGCGTGTGTGTGCGTGTGTGCACGGGGGATGTGTGATGCGAGCCTCGAGGAAAGCGGATGAACGGACGTGTACACGGGGCGAGTGTATAGTGCACACGAGTGGGCGTGTGTGTAACGGAGTTGGGGGTGGGAATTACTCTACGCCGAGCAGCTCCCCGGCTTCCCTGGCCTTGTGGGGAGGGTGCGGGGGGCGCTCCCGGCAGATCTACGCGCCGCTTGGGGCGGAGGCGGCCTTTGCAGAATGAAATGACATCGCGTGTCTTATGATCCTGGCCAGCCCCGCCTGACCCCGCCTCCCAGAGCTGGGCTGGGTCGCGCGTCAGGGGTTTGGGCGAGAGCCGGGCTGATTGGGTGTATGTGAAACGGTTCGCGGGTCGCTGGGGGCAGCCCCAGGGCCCCCCTTGCTGCGCCCCACTTTAGCCGGTGTGGAATGTGGCGTGTCTGCGCGTTCCAAACCCGCTCTCGGCTGGAATGTTGCGCGTGCCTGCGTTCCAAGCCCGTTGGTTACACCGGGTGGTGACGTGGATGGGCCCCGCCCCCGACCACGTGCACGGGGGACACTCCCGCTGGGGACGGCGCGGCTCGGCCCCTCCCCGCAGCCTCGCGTTTAGCCGGGGGCGGGGCCTGGGTGGGGCCGGCGAGGGGCCTTGCGCAGGGTTGGGCCCTAGCTTTGGCCTCTGGGCATCTCCCAGGGAGGGCCTGGGCCCTGCGAAGGTGGAGCCGAGCTCACCTGTCGGTTCTCACCCTAACCTTCTGTTTTTTATCGTGGGGCGAGGGAAACGCTCAGAATCGCAGAGCGACAAGACTTAGAGGTCGCATATTCCCGCTGACGCCCAAAACGTTCTCACCAGGACCTCCTGGCAACACCCCTGGCCACACTGTGGAATGAGCCAGGCTGAGAATGGGCAAATTTGGGGGCTTCCTGAACAGTGGGAGAGACGAAGATTTTAGATGCCCCCCCTACCCCCACGCGCCCCTCCGGGTGATGCAGAAATAGGGACTGGGGGGAAGACCTCCGTTTGCTGGACTGCGACGAGGGCCTCAGCCCTGGATCGTTTTGTGTCCACTATCCGGAGAGTCCTGTCCCCTCCAACCCAATCCCCCAACCCTGCGGCCGGGTTGGTTGTGGTGAAGAGAGTGCTTCGCCCTCCTTTCCTTTCTTTCTGCCTATTGTTGCTTCAATGATGAGTCATGCAGGAGGTAGTAGTGTGTTGTGTGTGTGTGTGTGTGTGTGTGCGCGCGCCTGTAGCGTGTGCCGCCGCCGCCGCGCTGGCTGAGCAGGCAGGGGGGGGAGCGGCAGCCGGCCAGGGGCGGGGAAGCTGCGGGTCCGTCGGCCTAGTCGGGTAGACCGGCCTCTCAAGGTCAAGAGTCACTCGAGCTATGTGAGACTGAGATGCTTGAGTTTTGCAGAACTGATGGGCTGGCACATCAGCCCACGCGCCCCTCCCCCTTGCCTTCGGGATCCAGAGCAGGGTCAGGAGGTGGACAGTGCTGTTGGTGACCGTGAATGTCCTGCGTGCGGGCCCAGCGACGGGCGGGGGAGGGGGAGAGCGTGCACAAGATTTGGAGAGACTGAGTCACCTGCTGCCACCATCAACACAATGCAGTTCAAGAATACCTATTGTGTCCCCACTGTGTAACAGGCACTGTGCTAGAGGTGAACAGGATTGACCCTGATGTTGCCCCAAGGGAACACTCACTTCACCCTCACTTTACCCCTAGGCTGGTTGGCTATATGGGGAATGGGACAAGACTCACACTGTCATCTCTCTCATCCTTTGCAAAATAAGTAAATCCGGAGCTGACCAGTAAGAATGTGTGTATGTGACACTGTGAAGGAACCGGGGAACATTCCCTCTTAAGTTGGAGAGCCCAGCCCCCTCCCTCAGGTGGTGAGAACCAGGGGCAAGGAGCTGAGCTGAGGTCTAGGTTAGCTGCCCAGTCACAGCTTCTTGTTGGGGGGGGTGGGTTTAGGGGATAGGTGGATGCTGGAAAACCACATCTACTCCAAAAACTGTTGTACAGATGGCTGCACCTGGCCACAGCAGTTTAATCTCCAGAATTCATTTTATCTCCTTCTTGAGGTTCTGTCCTTTGACTTGGGGTGGGAAGGATGGGAGAGAAAGAGGTGGTGTGTGACCCTGCTGACCAGAAGTGCTTTCCCGGGGTACATACCTGATGAGCAGCTCTGAACAGGGATCCTCTTATCTGTGCCCTCGTTCAACCTCAAGCGTCGGTTTCCCGACCTAGACCAGCTAGCTTATTTACATGATGAGCCTAGGGCATGTGTGCACTTGTGTGTGTGAGAGGAAGAGAGGAAAGGGCAAGGCATCGTGGTGGTCAGCAGGGGGGCCTGGTCATTTTCTAGCATTCATGGAGGTGGCTCGAATGGCACCCTCTTCTGCCGTGATTGGAGGGAGCTGGTGGGAGTGTCCACAGGCGCCTGACCCAGTCGTACCCTGGGCCTGCCTTATGTGCCAAGCTCCCTGTCAGCATGAAGGGGGAATCCCCCTGAACATTCGGGGGCACCAGGTGTGGGCTTCTCAGGCCCCAGCCCTGTGCCTGCTGAGCCCCTTTGGCCACAGTGACTTGGGATGGCTGAAGGGAGCACAATGCCCATACTCTCCACTGTGGCCCCTGGATCACCCCAGAGGAGTCGTGCTAAATTCTCTGAGTGTAGAGCCCAAGGAAAGTGCCTGAGTGTGTGTGCATGTATGGGAGTGAGGGAGGGTGTGCACCCATGGGGGCAGCAGAGCATTATTTTAAAGAGCCTAAACTCATCTTACTGCTGAGGGAGGCCCCTGAGTGACTGCCAGCTTGCTTCCCCCACTTTGTGCCCCCCACTCCAGGGCACAGGGAGAGGGTCATCACTGAGTAAGGAATGAGTCCAAGTGGCAGGGAGGAGGCAGGAAGCTTTGGTGGGCTGAATCTGGCCTGGGGCACGCGCTCTTCCTCCCCGCCAGTCAAGCTTTTTCATGCTGATCCAGGTGTGATAGAACTTGGCCATTCACCTGGGTCCCTCCTGGCACCTGTGAGGCGCACCTGCCTCGCTCTGGAAGAGAGTAGGTGAGGAGGAGGTTACCGTCTCCTGGGTGAGCTTTGGAGTTGCTTTAAAACATGGGGAATATGAGGTTTGCCATCAGTCTGGGTTCCCAGAGCACCTGTCCTTGGGGCTTGGGGCCTTGTCTGTCCCACTGCTTATGGGAGAGTGGAACACTTGTCCCAAGGCCAATGAAAGTTAGGGGCCTGGCTCAGTCAAAGGAATGGAGGTGGGGCTGTGTTGGGCCCTGAGCTACAGGGCCTTGTCTTGGGGATGAGATGGGGGCAGGTGGGGTTAGAGGGTGGCAAGTGGGGAGAGGACTGGGGATGTCCCAGGCGGGGCTCCGGAGCTGGAACTCAGCAGGCTTCTTTCCCAGTGTAATCTGGGAAGCTGGGGCAGAGAGAGCTGGTTTTCTCTGCGCCTGTAACATAAGCTAGTGCTGGCTGGAAAGGCTTAGGAGAGCAAGACCTCCCCTCATTGGAGCAGGCCTGCACCGGACTGGCAGCTCCCCTTCCTGAAGGGCAGGGGAGATAGGAAGAAGCCTGTGCTGCCCGGTCCAGCCCCTGAACTCTGGCTGCTGGGAAACCACTGAGTGCTTCCCCTCTCGGAACACTTCCCCCTCTACTTCCTCCTTGCTCTCCTCTGCAGGAGGGAGGGCTCGGCTCAGAGTAGGCCTGGCTCACACTCATTGTTGATTGGCCAAAGGGCCCTGAGGCCTCAGGTTTGCTGGGGGCCGCCCCCACCCCAGCCTGAAAAACATGTTGGAGGGTTGATGCCTTCCTCCCTAGGGGGCACTTAGCCAACCTCATACCCCAGCCCCACCCCTTGTGGGGTGGCATGTTTGGGGCGTGGCTACCTGCCAGTGCTGTCAGCTCTGTTAGTCAGCAGTGTGGCGAATCCGGGGCAGTGGGGAGGGCTGGGTGACCAGCCTGTTCCCTGGCCTGGGGGGCTGCAGCTGCTCCCCAGGGCCCTGGCCCAGCCCTGTAGCCCAGGGACTGGAATGATGGGCCTGGGAGAGGACGGGGCAGGGTGGAGATGGAGAGGGGCCCTCTCCCCTCCCCCTGTTCTCAGCCAGCTGCTAAGCAGGCCTCCCCTTCCTGCGGGGCTTTCAGCAGAGATGCTGAACTGATGGGTGCGTGCTTGCCTGAGCTCATGGCCCTGCTCACCCCTATTACAAAGCCCAGCTTTCCTTTCTGGCTGCCTTGTATCTTTCTAGTTTGTGCTGCTGGTGGTGGAGGGGATGGGAGGGAGGGAGGGGGATTTGGGGAAAATTAGTTCTAGCATAACAAAGGGCAGAGAAGGACCAAGTGTGTTTTGTGTGGTCCCCCTGAGGACAAACCAGAGGCATTGGGACCTAGCCTGGGAGTCCAGAGTCCTGGGCCTGGTTTCCTCATGTGGGAACTGAAGGTGGTGTCCCTACCCTGCCTGTGGTGTGGGGCTCTTGTGAGGATCCAGAGGGGTGTGTGTGTGTGTAGACACCTAGTGAGCATATGTTGGCACAGCAAGTACCAGGAATCTGCCAGGTGTCAGGAGACCTGGCTGGGTCTGGCCCCAGTTTTACTTGTGTCTTGCTGTGTGACCCTCAACAGATCACTTTGCCTCTCTGAGCTGATTTATCCCATCTGTGAAATGAAGGTACTGCCTGTCCTCTACAAGGTACTTGCTAAACACTGTTGAAGGTCTTTCCCAGAAACTATGATCTGTCTGCCCCGCTCCGTTCTCCTGTGGTGGCCTGTGAGGTCTTCTATGGACTGGCCTCTGCCCACCTTATCAGCCCGCTCCCCTCCACCTTGTTGCTCCTGACCATCCCTGCTCACCATCTGCCTAACCCCTCAACCTCCAGGTTGCCAGGCCTCCAGCATTCTCTGGGACGCTCCTGCTCTGCCTTTACACAGCCTCTTTCCCCCCAGCCTGGACTGTTATCCTGTCTCTTGTCCCTCCCTGCACCCCCCCGCCCTGAGCTCCCCAAAGACACGGACCAGGTCTGTGTGATTTGTTCACTGCTGTGTCTCAATGCTTAGCCAGCGCCTGGCTGGGTGTGAATGGGTATTTGTGGTGTCTCAGGCAGAGCAGGGGTGTCACTGAGCACTGACTGGGACACGGTCAGAGGATGGGTTATGGCTGGAGGACAGGTGAAGCTGGGGCCCAGGGCTGTTGGCCCACTCAGACACCCCTTGTGTTCTCTCTGTGTAGATGAGCAGGAGCGGCTTCGCTTGGAGCGGGAGCGGGAACAGGAGCAGAAGAAGGCCAGCAGCCTGGCCAGGCTGGCCCATGCCCTGCCAGTGGAAGAACCCCGCAACGAGGCACCACCCCTGCCTTTGTCCCCCCCAGCACCTCCGCCGGCACCTCCACCCCCACTTGCCACCCCCACCCCACTGACTGTCATTCCTATTCCAGTAGTGACCAACTCCCCTCAGCCTCTGCCCCCACCCCCACCACTGCCCCCTGCAGCCCAGCCTCTGCCCCTGGCACCTCGCCAGCCCACCCTGGTGAGCACCCCTGGACTGAGCATTAAGGAGTCTGCTGCCCTGCCCACCAGGCCACAGGTGCCCACCCCTGCTCCCCTACTGCCGGACTCCAAGACCACCATTCCGCCCACTGGCAGCCCCAAGCCTTTGCAGCCCCTCCCCACACCCATCCTGACCATCGCACCACACCCTGGAGTCCAGCCCCAGCTGGCCCCCCAGCAGCCACCCCCACCCACTCTTGGGACACTGAAGTTGGCACCAGCTGAAGAAGTCAAATCCAGTGAACAGAAGAAGAGGCCTGGGGGGTGAGTGAGGTGTGGCAGAGTCAGAGCTGTTGGGGTGGAGAGGAGGACTGCCCACCCGCTGGGCTGTGTGTGCAAGAGAAAGTTCCCTCCCCAGCCAGGCCTTCAGGGCCGTACCCTACCTCCCCAGCCTAGAAGTGCCCTCCTATATTTGGACACATTTTCACTGTGCTCTTGCCCATCCCGGCCCCGGGAGTGGGGAATGGCCATTGCTCTCTGTTCTCTGACTTCTGTTTTCTCTGACCTCCTCCAAAGTTGGGGCTGATGGCATTTCCCAGCCTTTGAACAGAGTATTGGGTTATGGGCCTCTTCTGAGGGATGGGGTCAACTGGCTATTTCTCTGAGTCCCAGGAGTACTTCCATCTCCTCACAGATGGACAGGTGGCATTGGGGGTTAAAGGGGTCATGAATTATGAGCATACATGTGTCCTCCATGGGGTGTACGTGCCATGGCACAGAAGGAGCATCTCCCATTGCTGCTTTTATAGAGAGAAAATGTCAGGGACAAAAAGCCTGTGGCATTTGGAGGACGGGGACAGGGGGCAGGAAGGCCACCTAATCTGGGCCCTCCTCTCTGAGCCTCCTGTCTGTCTGGGTTTCAGGATCGGAACCAGAGAAGTCCACAACAAACTGGAGAAGAACAGGTGTGTGTGCGAGCGTGTGTGACTCTGGGCCCGCCCCGCCTGCCGTGGGGACTGGTCCCACCCTTGGTTCCCCAAGCTGTCCTTGGGCCTTCCCTCCCCGCCTCCAGGCCGTGCCTCTGCCCCCGGCAGTGGCTGACCCGCGCTGCTACCTCTCCCCAGGAGGGCCCATCTGAAGGAATGCTTTGAGACCCTGAAGCGAAACATCCCCAACGTGGACGACAAGAAGACTTCGAATCTGAGCGTGCTGCGGACGGCGCTGCGGTACATCCAGGTATGGGGGAGGGAAGCGCGGCCCAGAGGAGGCGGGCGGTGGCGGTGGCGGCGACGGCCGCAGAGCCAGCTTCCTCCCCGCGCCCCACCGCCCTCGCCCGGTCGTCGCGGCCCCGCCCCCTCCCGGCTCCCCCGCCCTCCTCCACGCGGGCGCTGAGCACATGGCCCGGTGACGTCACGGGGCTCCCCGCCCGTCAGGGGGCGGGCAGACGGGCGCGCGTGCGCGGGCAGGGCGGGGGCGGTGCTGCCCTCGGCCTCCCTCCCCTCCCCCGTCGGGCCGCCCTGCGGAACCCGTGTCACCCCGGTGTTCGGTCCCGCTTAGCTGCCTGCCGCTGTTAGAGCACCCGCGGGTGAGGAGGGCGTGGAGCAGCCTGGCGCCTCCACCCCGCCCGCAGCGCCTGGGCGGAACCCGGATTCGGCCCAAGAGTCTGTCGCTGGGCCGGGGGAGGGGTGTCCCCGGGCGTGGCTCCCTCCAGTCGGCTGCGCGCCAGTGAAGCCCCCGACTTTTACCCGAGAAGGATTCAGATCCTTGCAGTGAGCGCACTGAGGTGCCACGACCCGAGTTCGGGGGTTAAACCTCGGGGTTGGAGGAATGCGGCAGCTTGAGTGGGAGACAAGCAGCCCCGGGGTCACCGAACCTCTAAAAATTACTCTCTCCTTCCGTCAGGGTTTTAAAAAAGCCCTTTCCAGGGCGCCCTCCTGGCCGTGTCCCCTCGCCGTGAGCCCTGGCTCCCCTCTGCGGCACCGGGCCGGCGCCCGCCAGATAAGCTAGTTGCCATGGCGGCCCGAGTTTCGGTTTCCCTGGAAACCCGGCGGGCTGCGCGCGCGGGGAGGGCGGCGGTGGGGGTGGGGCGGCGGCCACGCTCGGCTGCCGCTGAGACGGAGTCCGAACGGAGCCGTTGGGGAGTGGGAGGGGCTTGGGGGCTCCCTGCCAGCTGGGGGGAGGAGCCTCAGGGTCCCCTGGTCGTCGCTCTTGGGAAGCCTGGGGGCTGGGCGGCGTCACGGCCCTGGCGGGAGGGGATGGCAGAGGGTCGGGCCGGGCGAGGAGCCAGCAGCGGGTCGCCACCCCTCCCCCGGCCTCGACTGCGGGGTCACAGCCCCGAGGTAACCGGAGCCTGACTCGCGACGGCTCCCAGTCGGCGGCTCCCTCCCCGCCTCCCGTGAACGCGCGCCCTTCCGCGCGCCCTCTGGCGCGGGGAGGTGCTGGCGCGTCTCCAGGCCGCTTCCCGGCACCGGGAGGGGCGGGGCCGGGCCCGCGGATTGGCGAGGCCGGGCGGGGGGCGGGGCTCCTGCGCGCGCCGAGGGAGGGTGCGGCCGGCGGGGAGTGACGCAGCATGGCCCGGGCCGCGTGGGTGCGCGCGTGCTCTGGGAGGGGCGGGTCCTCGCTTGCTGCCCGGACGGCACGGCGTCGGGGGCTTGCCTTGAGTTTCCGAGGGTACCCAGGAGGCTTATTTTTTGATGTATTTGCCGAACGTGGGCTTGAGTATGTTATTGATTGGTCCCTCAGTCATACGCAGTTATATGGCCTGGGAGAAAATCTCAGTCCAAATGCGGTGACATTTTCTGCGAATATCAGCTTTCTGTACTGCGATGAGGCTAAGTGGGAAAAAAATTAATAGTATCTTCGTCGTAAGGATGTTAGAAGGATTGGACCTCTGTAAATATTAACTTAATTGCGATTATTAAGAAGTGGGGAGGATAGAATGGCACGTTCCTCTTTATAGATACATATTTAGGGAGGGGAGAGCAGAAACAGTCGAAAACTTAGAAGACTGCATGAATCCTGAACTTCACTCATTTATTTGTTCATTCAGGTACTTTTGGAAAGCTCTGTGTCTGATTCTGAGGATATAGTGGGGGAGCAAAGAGGAAAATGTAGGTCTGCATCCTCATGGGTTTTGTCTTGCAGCAGATTATAAACAAGATGGAAGACTGTGCCATGCAGGTGTCACAGGGACAGATCACAGGATCTGTTCTGGGGAGGTGGGGAAGTTGTTGCTAAGGAAGGGGCATTCAAGCTGAGACCTGAAGGTCTCCGGATGACCAAGGCAAAGTGGAGGGCAGAGAGCCCAGCACAGTCCAAAGTTTCTCCAGCAGGAGGGAGCAGGATGCGTTTTTGGAAGTTAAAGATGGTCAGGAGGGTTGCCAGGTAGAGATGGGGGGCAGCAGGGCACTCGATGAGAGCCAGAAGGGAGTACTGGAGAGATCACACAGAGCATGTAGACTGAGGGCTTGGGATGTGTGTCCAGGCGGGAAGCTGTGGGAAGGCTGAAGAACCCAGCCAGACCTATAGTGGCTTAGAGGTGGTAAAGGAGTTGAAGAAAGCCATGGTGAAGTGGACAGAAACAGGAAGAGGAGTGGGCATTTACCAAACCAGGTATCTAGGTAGTCTTAGAAAGGAAATGGGTCTAAGATGAAGCAATGTGGTCTAAAGTTAGACCCTGGGGAAACTTTCTGGGGGCCTCTAGGCCTGTGGAGAACTGGGCTAAGTGAGGAGAGGAGGTTTTGGCCTCTGATGTTCTCTCTCCCTGAGCCAGAAGCCTACCCTCCCTGCTAGTGAGTAGAGTTCAGGATGGCCACTTCTAGCCCCCAGCAGCCAGATTCAAGTGAGGGCTGACTCACCATAGGCCGCATCATTGATGTGGCCTCATCTGATGTCGTGTCCAGCATTGGCCTTTTGGGGTAGAGCCAGGTGAGAAACCAAACAGGTGAGTGTGTAAGGGGAGGGATCTTTCTGGCAGAAATATGGGGAGAAGGTTAATCTCAAAGCCAGGATGGTAGAAGGGACTGTGTGTAGCCTGGGACTGGTGACAAAAGTGTGGAGCTACCAGGTTTCCGGCCAGTACAGAGCATGGCTGTATCTGGGTTATGTGTCGCAGGCACTAATGGTTTGAGGCATCTCTTACTGGTGAGGTCAGAAATGCAAGGAGTTTGGGGCTGTAGGAGGGAGCGTGGGGAAGTTAGTCCTAGTTGGTGTGTTGAGTTGAAGACGTTGCCATGCTCAGGAGGGGCAGATGAACAGTCAGGAAAGACTACTGCAAAACTGCCCATAGGAAATGGAGTCAAGGCTACCGGGTGACTGTGATTCTCCTGTGATGAAGGGGAGAGACAGGATAGAGGTTGGAGCTAACATGGTGAAGTCCCCTCAGATCCTTCCCCTGGGGCTAGGCAAAACATTGTGCCTAGCTCTGTCCTGGCCTGGTAGGCTCAGGGGATATAAGCTAATTATAGAACAGCGCTTGCCTTCACTTACAGGGTTGGACAGGAACAGTGTGTGTTGAGGTGGAAAGACAAAACAGGAAATATTTAGGGGGTCATAGGAGCCAGTGTCTGATTAAGTACTACTTGACAGTCAATGTCACTGAACGCTCAGGTGTGCGTGCTGGTGCTGAGAAGGGCATGGGTTGGGGAAGGGCAGTGGAGAATGTAGGGGCTCAGGTGTGGTCTCAGAAGAGGAGCAGAGAAGATCTAGATTGGTGAGAACGGGGCGTTCCGTGTGTAAGCATCTGGGCAGACAGAGTTTGGAGAGGAAAACTAAGATGAGCTGGGGAGTTTGGTGTGGAGAGCCAGTGGGCTCTGCACCTGGCCATGACCAGTGAGCCTTGGAAGCTACAAGTTGAGGAGCAGGTCAGGTAAGAAACTCAGGAGGCAGCAAGGCAGCACTGTCCATGTTGTCTGGTTGACCCAGCGGTCAGGACATGCCTAGGCCGAGGAGAAGCTGGCAACAGGGAAGCCATTGAGACTTAGATGAGTTGGTTTAATGAAGTGTCAGAGTTGGGAGGTCATGGAGGATGGGAGAGGCTTTTGGTCTGGAAGGGAGCTGAGAAATAGGATAGGAGCTGGCCTTTGGAACTGCTAATAATAAGCCTCCGGCAGAGAGAAACTGGAGACCCTTCTAATAAGGGAGCACTGCCACAGTCTAGGAGGCAGGGCGTCCAGCACCTCTGTGAGGGGGCAACCTAAGTGGCACAAGGTCACCTGTGGCCCTGAAGGAGTTGAGAAGGAGATGGCACCGTGGATAAGGGAACTCCCTCCTGGTGTTCTTAGGGAAGGGGGTGGCATCAGCGTTGTGGGAGTGGGAGCAACCTGGAACCTGTGGTGAGGGACAGAAACCTCTCCAGGGGTGCTCAGTCCGAGTCAGCTGTGCTGTCCATCACCCCAAGAGCCATTTCTCATTGAAGAGTGCAGCTCAGGTACTGTGTGAAAGGAGGGGCACATTCCAGGGCGTGGGGATTGTTTAGCAGCCTGGGGAGTCTGGAGGCCTGCAGGCAGTGTGAAAATAGAGCATTGTAGAGTGGCGACACAGGTGGGCACCATAGGGGCCCAGGAAGTTGGAGAAGGAGGTACAGAGCCAGCAGCTATTGGAGACGAGATGGAGGCAGGTCAAGATGAAAAGGCCACAAAGTCTGGTGGGTCATCCTCCAAGGATATTGAAGTTAAGGAGACTAGTGAATGATGAAGTGGAGAGAAGGGCAGGATCATTGGGGGTTCTTTGGGGAATGCGTTCCAAGGAGAGTAGCTTGTGGTATCCGTGAGTGACAGAATGGTATGAACAGCGGTGGAGGCCTTGGACATGACCCCAGAAGTCTGTGTTACCCTTCCTGTCCTTCTCTGCAGAATGGAGAGAGATGCTGCCAGGAGGGTGGATGGGGCATGAGGTGGGGAAGCCCCTCAGGACAGAGTTGATGTGGGGATGGGAGAGGGGCTGACCTGGATCTGTGCTTTCTTTCAATGGCGCCTGCCTGAGAGCCTGCAGTCCCCGGGACGCTGGGCCTCACTAGGCAGAGCCAGGACCAGGAGGCAGGTGTTGTCTCCAACAGCCCCTGTCAGCCTGGGGCCCGGTCAGTGCAGACCTGCCCTGTGGGCTGAGTGATCTGGAGGCAGGGGTGGCTGTGGGGATATGTTTATGGTAATCTGTGGGCCCCATGGCTGCTGCTCAGGGTATCCTGCTGTCCCTTGCCCTGTTCTCCAGTCCCTAAAGAGGAAGGAGAAGGAATATGAGCATGAGATGGAGCGGCTGGCGCGAGAGAAGATTGCCACGCAGCAGCGGCTGGCGGAGCTCAAGCACGAGCTGAGCCAGTGGATGGATGTGCTGGAGATCGACCGTGTGCTCCGGCAGACGGGCCAGCCGGAGGACGACCAGGCCTCCACTTCTACAGCCTCTGGTGAGCCCTGCCTGCCCCCCGTTCCATGTTGCTCCCGCCCTTCACAAATGACAGCTGCTCTGGCCAGGCCTTTGCCTGCTGGAAAAGATGCCCCTCACCCCAGCCCCATCGTATCCCCAGGGACATCTATATTTCTAACTTCTTGTTTCCCAAGCCCTCTCACCTCTCCCTGTGTCCCCCCACAGAGGGTGAGGACAACATAGACGAGGATATGGAGGAGGACCAGGCCGGCCTGGGCCCACCTAAGCTGAGCCATCACCCCCACCCGGAGCTGCCGAAGCCACCGCCCAGCACTGCCCCCACGCCTCTGCCTCCCCACCCACACCCCCACTCCCAGCCTGTGGCCCTGTCTCCTGCCCATCTGCCCGGGCAGCAGCCACCGCCACAGCAGAAGACACCTCTGCCGGCCCCTCCTCCCCCACCAGCTGCCCCTGCCCAGGCTCTGGTGTCCGCTCCAGCCCATCTGGTGGCCGCGGCTGGGGGAGGCTCTACAGTCATCGCCCACACGGCCACCACCCACGCCTCAGTCATCCAGACTGTGAACCATGTTCTACAGGGGCCGGGCGGCAAGCACATCGCCCACATCGCCCCCTCGGCCCCCAGCCCTGCTGTGCAGCTGGCACCTGCCACACCCCCCATTGGCCACATCACAGTACACCCTGCCACCCTCAACCACGTGGCCCACCTTGGCTCCCAGCTGCCCCTGTACCCGCAGCCTGTGGCAGTGAGCCAGCCTGTGGCAGTGAGCCACATCGCCCACACCCTCTCGCACCAGCAAGTAAATGGCACAGCTGGGTTGGGGCCCCCAGCCACCGTCATGGCAAAGCCAGCTGTGGGGGCTCAGGTGGTGCACCACCCCCAGCTGGTGGGCCAGACGGTGCTCAACCCTGTGACCATGGTCACCATGCCCTCCTTCCCGGTCAGCACACTCAAGCTGGCTTGAGGATGAGGCCACTCAGAGGCCCTCAGTGGGGGCAGGGAGGGGGACCTGTCCCCCACTCTCCTACCCACCAGCTCCACACATTCCAGCCAGGCCAGGCCCACCCCGCCCACACCCACCCCCAGGCCTCCTAGGGGAAGGGGGTGCAGAGACTCTGAGCCAGGGGAGGGAGGGGCCACCCCAGGTAGCTGGGCACAGGGCAGGGGCTTACCCCACTGCACTAGGACTTGATGAAGTGATGAGAGACGCTCTGGTGACCATGCCACCTGTTGGGCCTGGTGCCAGCTCCAGTGCCGTCCCTGCCTCCCAACCCTGTCCCCTGAAATCAGTGCGATGTGGACGTGGTATTCTCCGACTTTCCCCTACCCTGCCCGCCTTCCTGTGCTGCTGCTGCTATTGCTCTGTCTGGTGAGGTGGCTGAGTGCCCGGGCCCTCCCCTCCCGAGCCTCAGCCTTCTCTTCCCAGGCCTTTGGAGGGGAAACGGGGAAGCAGAACTGAAGCAATTTGGCCCAGAAAGCTGAAGACTGTGGGGACCCTGCTGAGTACAGGTGACAAATCCTAGGAAGTGGCTGGTCTGGCGTCCCATCCAGACAGGTGGGTGCCCCAGCATGGGGTTCTCCAACCCAGTTGCAGTCACTATGACTCATTACAGCAGAAACTAGTTAACGATTGTCTGCCAATAGTAAACCAAACCCAAGTTGTTGCCAAGCTCCCTGAGCCCGCCAATCTTTGCCACTGAGCTCCTGACCTCAGGAGGGCAGGCTGAGGGTGGGGGCAGGAAAGAAGGGTTTGGCTGTGCCCATCACCTTCGCCCCCAGCCTGCGTCTGGACTGAGGAGAGCTGCTCTGGACCCCTGCCCCCATCCCTGGATATGGCTCTCAGCTTCCAGAAGGCAGAGAGGAGGTGTGCTGTCTGGCCTCCACTCCCCTCTGCTCAGTGCTGTGTACTCCCTCAAGGGATAGGTGCCCCTGGGTGCCTCATGCTGCCTGGGAGACATTGGCCAGCATCTGGTCTGGGTTCCAGGATCCTGAAGCCACACTGTTGAGGCAATCAGGAAGTTAAAATCTGGCCCCTGATCCTTTCCCACACAGGCCCCTGGGGACCTGTAGAGAGGGAGCAGGGCCAGACTAGGGAGGAGGGCTGCTGCTTTTGCTCCAACTTCTGTCTCTAGTGTCATCTCTTTCTCCTGAACATCCCCCTTCTTCCATGGGCCTTTCTGAGTGTCCCCTCCCTGGTGGGGGCTGCTGTGTGCCACTGCCTTCCTTTGAGGAAAAGTCCTTAGTTGGGCTGAGAGCAGGGCACAGCTTGGGGTGGGGAGGAGTGAGTGGGGGGCCCTGTGTAGGGGATGCTGCTTTCCCTGCCTCTGCCTTGGCCAACGGCTTTGGCTTCTCTTTATGTGGGTATTTATTACAAGTGGCCTTGTGTTGGACACACTCAGTTACACACATGTGCACACTCTGCTCCCCACTTGGACACACTCACCAATGGCCTTTCAGTGTGGGAGGAGGATGTGAGTATTTCTAAGTGTGAAGTTTGACAGGCTGGGGGTGGGAGAGTGTCAGGGCCCAGGATCCTCTGGAGTGTCCTCAGGACACTGGGGAGCCTGGCAACGGTCTTGAATAGATTTAGACACTTAAGAATTCCCTTTCAGTTCCCGGTGCTGGAGACCTCCCAGGGGACTGTCGTCTTGTTTTTCTCTCCTGTGGGTGGGGAAGGGGAAGGCCTATGGACGCCTTAGAGGCCTCTAGGAGAGGGCCCCGTACCCACCCTATGCAGAGCTCCCACCTCACAAGCTTGCTGCCTCCCTGCGCCTGCAGCCACTGCCACCCGCCACCCGCCACCCTTGTTCTTGGGGGAGCCAGTTTCATTCTTCCCAGTGTGATTACAATGGAAAAAGCAGAGGGAGATGGGTAGGCCTGGCGCCCAGGGAACAGTCAGAGAAGTATTGGTGAACCCGCCCCTCCTCTCAGCTCTGTTCACCACCTGCATCCTGAGGCCATTCCAGAGATGAAACGGTTGTGTTAACCAGTTGCCCCTTGGGCCTGCACAGATACCTCATCTGCCCTCCGCCCCTGCCCCTCCCAGCCCCCCATCAGTGGGGGCCTCTGAATCTAGTGCCGAATGACTATGTCCAGATTGGTGACAATGGGTCTTGTTGCTGTTTTGTTGTTGTTTGTGAACGCTGTGACGCTGTGTGCCCAAGAGGGCAGCCACCGCCAGCCCTTCCTTGGGCATCTCCCCTGAGAGCTGTCAGGACCACATCTGTCCTCGCCTGTGGGACCTCCTGCCCCTCCCCTCCCTAGCCCTTCCAGCCTGGGGGACGCGTGTGCCCGTGCATGCGCGTGCACGCACACATACACACATCTTACCTCTCATGCGTGTTTTACTTTTTGATGTTCAGAGTGACTCACTGGCTGGGAGTCTTTACCTCGAGGAGAGGGGGAGGTTAGTTCCTTGGGGGGGCCAAAGAAGGGCAGGGAATGCCTGGAGGGGAATTGCGGGGTCACCATAACCCCTGCTCTCTCCAGGAACAGTTTCTTCCCCCATCCCAGGGTCCCACCCCCATCCCCCAAAGAGGTGGCCCTTGTTTACAGTGAGGACTTGGTCACTGTGTCTCCGTTTCCTGAAATATAAACCGTAGCGACCCCAGACTGTAGAGATTTTTATGTGTTTGGATACATCTGCTGTGTGGGAAAAAAAAAAAAAAACTACAAAAACCCTAATTTTGTACATATTGTATTTTTACTATTGAACTGTATTCTAGTGGCTGTTCATGCTCCAAGACTTTAGGTATTGAGACATGAATACTATCCATGTAATAAGCACTTGCCTGGAATAAAATATAAAATTGAAATAAACCTGCACTGAAACCTAAGATGGAGCTGCCAGCCTGCAGCGTCTGGGTCATTTTGTTGCAAAAGGAGGCAGCCACCTTTAGGGAAAGACCTCCAGCAAGAAGCAGCAGTGTCTTCCCTGTTGACATTTGTGGGGAACTGTCCTCCAGTAGCTTCCGTGCTGGTCAATTTTAGAAAACAATTAGGGACCTTCCAGTTCTGATCCCAATGTTCAATCCTCAACAAGCTCTGAGAACTGCAGTTATGGGCTTCCTTGTACTTTTGTACTACTTGATACTTCCTCAAACCATTTTTACAAACGCTATCTTGTTTCATCTCTTAACAGCACAATGAAGTAAATAAAAACTAGCCCCATTCTGGCAGATAAGGAAACAGGTTTGAGGTAGCTGTGACTTGTGGTCACACAGCTAGCCTGGAACCTTGTGGAGCTGCAGTCAGATCTCAACTCTGCAGAGTTCTCCCCTGAGTGTGTGCCACCCTGCCCTGGGGCCTGCTGCAGAGTCAGGAACCTGAACTCAAGAAAGCTCCAATGGGAAAAAGGTGGAGGATCTGTACACAGAAGGGTGAGAGGCTTCCTGAGAGGGATGTGCTTCTGGGGTTGTGGTTAGGGCAGGTCATCTGAGGAGTCCATGGGCTGTCCTCTCAGGGAAAGGAACAAGAAGAGGAAGAAGTTGGAGGTCAGAGGTCAAAGAGCCATGTTCTAAGCTGGGTCTGCAAACCTGGGCCTGGAAGACCTTTGTCCCTATAACTACATCTTCTCTCCCCAGTTTAGGGGAAACCAGCCCTTTGGCAGGCTGTCTTGGGAGTAAGTGGGGAGGTGAGGGAGAATGAATTAGCTGGGCCTAGCTATAGACTAGGCTGGCTGCCTCATCTAACACCCTGACACCTGTCACACTCCCAGCCCCAGTCAGGGGAACTGACTCAGCTTCTCTTCCTGGGGTGGGTCTGGGGATGCGAGGGGTTATCCTTAGGAAAGGGATTGGTGGCTGAATGTCTTGGAGTCCCCTTCTTTGAAGAGCCAGCCTCAAGAAAGGCCAGACCCAGCGCCCCTCCCCACTGCCCCACAATCCCTCCAGGCCCTTTCACTTGTGGGATGCTAGCTCCCTCTGCTGGTAGCTCCAGGAAGACCGGTCCCTTCCACTTTAGGGAAGGCCTAGGGTTAGGGTTAATATTTCATGAGTGCCCACTCAGTGTCAGACACTGTGCCCAGCACTGGGGATGAAAACACTGCCCCTGACAGTGAAGTAGGTATTATATCATCTAAGGGCTATCACTATATCTTAAGAGTAGGCAGAAACTCCCCTCTCTCTGCTCAGCTAGAGCTTGCAAGAAAGGGGCCTGTGGTTAAGGTAACAGAAAACAAAAATCCCAAGTAGGAATCCAGGAGCTTCCATTTACCAGCTCCTGCTCTGTAAGAGAGGGAGACTCATTTCCAGGGTAGGAGGGCTCCCTGAGATGGCATTATAGCGCCCTGCTCAACTTCCAGCTCCACCTCTCCACACACACATTGTCCTCAGCAGATCCATCATTTTGGCTATGGGATTCCCTCTGATCTTAGAAGCCCAGCCAGGGACCTGGGGAGTGCCAGTACTTGTGGGTGGAGCAGGGAAGGGAGGGGTGGGTATTTGAAGGAACCAGGCCATTTCCAGGCTAGTTTATCAGGGGCCTTTAGTAAACTTCTTTCAGGAGGAGAAACAGCAGAGGGAATTCTGATTGTTCCAGGCAACAGGATCAGCCAGGGGGTGGGGAGGTGTTCCCTTGAGGGGCTTATAAGCTTCCCTGGTCCCAGAGCTCCCTGTGTCAACTGATTTCCTTGTCTGTCTGAATGGGTCTGAGGGAGTTGACAACAACAGGTCCTAATGCCCGGAAAGCTACACCAGACCACATGCTGGTGACTGGAGCCTCTACCTGGAGCCATAGATGATGGGGCAGTGGCCTTCTGGGGTCGGGGAAAGCAGGTGGGAAGCTATTATAGTTGGGCCCTTTCCATACATCAACAGGTCTGATCCCTCCCAATACTCCCCCAACACCCTAGCCTGAAGCAGGCATCTTAAAGACAGTGCTCAGTGGGCAGAAGCCAAGGCCAGAGAGACAGGATCCTTCTCCACTGGCTGGAGAGGTCAGGAGATCCTGCAGATTCCCCGTCAAACTCCAACTCATCACTGTAGCCAGCCAGAAGGGCAGGCAGGCTGGGGAAGGGATGGGACAGGGACCTACACTCATCCAGAGGCTGGAGAGGTCAATGGTCAGTCTGAGATAGGACCGCTGGCTCTAGGGTGAAGTCCCCCCGAGGGCTCCCTCTGAGTACTTGGGGTTTGGCTATCACCCCTACCCCAGCCCACAGCCAAAGGCCCTCTCCCCTGGAAACTTTGGTTCTCTCTCTTCACCATCCTTGCCTTGCGGGGCTGGCCCTCTTTACCGTTTGATTGTGGAGTTTACAGAATTCCCTAACACACATAGTCACTCGCTGTCCAGTGCCAGCCCAAAAGCAGCCCCCAGAGCCTAAAGCATTGCCAAATGCTGTGTTTATTGGTCTGTTACATTGAAGAGTATAGTTTCTGAGCCAAAAAACATACATACACACTCTGCTCCTCACAAAACCACTGAGTCACTAAGGCAGGGACACAATGGCCACCGTGCTTTGGTGGAGGCCAAGGACTCACAGACGACGACGGGAGGGCAATAGGGCAGGTGGGTTGGCCCACAAACAGGCGTGCAGTGCCTGGGACAGAGGTGGGCTGGGAGCTGTGCTGGATGCAGAAGGGCTGCTGGGCCATTTTTCATGTTTCTTAAATGCAAGAAGTCTCCAGACCTTAGTGACTGCTAGGCAGGCCCCAGCCCCAGTGGCAGAGTGGCCTCCTGGCCCCAAAGCAAGGCCTACCCTGAATGTGTTGAGGGGAAGGGAGGTAGGAATGACAGCAAGCAGTGTTCCTGGGCCTAGGGTCCGGGGCTGGGCCCTTCCTAGCATCCCCATGAGTGAGGCTCCTCCAGGGGAGTTCCCAGCTCCCAAGGCCTCTCGACATCCTGAGAAATGTGTGGAAGGCAGAGCTAGCCTTGCTTCTCACCAGGGACAAACGGGAGACACAGGTAACCACCCCCAAAGCCTCAGGGACTCAGCAGATGCCTGGGATAGGCAATGGGCTGCCCCTAAACTCTGGGGCCTGTTCCTGAGAGGAGGCTGTGACAGGACTGCCTCCCTAAAGAATCACCCTGGGATTCCTTGAGAGCAAATGCTCCTACCACATTCCAGATCATCCATCTGGCAAAAGCGTCATTTACACACAGTTTGTAGGGATGCATCTAATGCATAAAGCAAGAGCGAGGTGGCAGGAGTGAGACTGTGCAGACACACGCGGGTGCACTGTATGGGCTGGGCGTGCATGGGGTCACCCCAGGTGGCCAAAGGCAGTGGCAGTGCTGCTGAGGTGGCCTGTTCCCACCCAGGGTCCCATCTTCTGAATGCCCCCCGGTCTTAGGGGAGGACCTGTAAGGTGGCCCAGGTCTCCTACACCTAGGGCGCAAGCCTGAACTGGCAGCAGTTCTGACTGCCCCAACTGGGGCTGGTGCACAGACATGCACTGGGCCTGCAAAGGGACTCTCAGGAGAGATACAGCACAGAGTCCCCTGACCCAACACAACTCTCGCCAGGTGGGGTCTAGGCAACTACAGCCCTGCTAACGCTGCAGGGCCCCGGGCTGACCTGGAAGAGGCCATGGGGAACAGTCTAGGTTGAGGCTGCAGGGGGCAGTGGGGCTATTCCCGGGCATTTGAGTGGAGAGCACAGTAGGTATCCCCCAAAGCAGTCGCTCCCTGAAGCCGATCCCTCCTATCCCAACCTTGACCTGAGGGCATCCTGGCCCCAACTCGCCCTGCAGGGCCAGCACTGCCCAGAGTCGGATCCCAGGCTCACAAGCACTTTGTTAGGAACACAGTCAGGTGAGGATCAGCTGGGAGTTGGGGCAGACTCAGCTGCACTGCCCCTGTGCACGCTCCCTGCAGGGACCCAGGGGCCCGGAGCCCTGGCTCTGGCCGGCTGCTGCCTCCTGGCCACAGCCCTCACTTGTTCTCTATGAGCATCTGCACCTTGTGGACGAGGTCCCGGGCAATCCGCAGGATCTCCTGGGCATCGTGATGCTCAGCCCGTTCTGGGGAAACATGGATAACAGTGGGGATGCCGGAGCAGAGGCAGTAGTCTGGGAGGAGCCCTGTGGCTACCCACCCTGCTCCATTTCCACTTGCTGGACTCCTGACATCTGCTTACGGGGAAGGGACCTGGTATTTCTGACAGCCCCTGCAACTCTGCTCAGGCCAGGAGAGGAGGCCCTCATACCCCTGATGGGGGCAGCCAGGATGGCTGGACCAGTTCCTACCATTGAAGAACTTGATGATGTCAGTGAAGTCCATGTTGTTGTCACGGATAATCTCACGATAGGCCTCCACCAGGGCCAGAGCGATGAACAGGACAAAGTGTTCCGATGAGATGTGCCGGGCTGCCCAGATCACCTCCCACACAGCAAACACATCCTCATACAGCAGCTCTGGGGACAGCAAGGGACTAAGACTGCGACTGGCTGCCCACAGGCCTCTGGATGGAGCCACATGTGGAGACAGAGCTCCAGGGGCCAAAGTCCTGGGAGTCTCCCCATTACACACAACCAAGCCCAAGGTGGCGGGTTCTATGCCCCAGGCCAAGCCCCTGCCCTTCTCCCTGGTGAGTCCTGCATGCTGGGCAGCTGCACACCCCACACCTGTACTCTTGTCAGCTAGACTAGATCTGCTTTTAGAGGCCTTGGTGCTTGGGAAGATTTGGTTTGAAAACAGTTCTGAAAACCATCATCTCAGGGTGATTTTCAACCCTGGTGGCAGTTTGGATTCACCTAAGGAGCTCTGAACTCACGGCTGCCCAGGCAGCCACACTTAGCAAGTCTGGGGCTGGATGGGGCCCACGGCACTGGTGTGTCTAAAAAGCTTGCCAGGTGGTTCCAGTTAGGGCTGAGAACCACTGACTGTGGGGAAGGGAGATCTCCTGCTGGCCCTGACCCCAGCCCCACCATCCAACCTGCCTCTTACCTCTCTTAAAATCCAGCAGGAACCAGCGGTAACAGAAGTAGAAGTGGGTGTAGTCTCCGTTCTGATGCATCAGTTCAAACAGTTCTGAGTCCAGGATCTTGTGCAAGTGGAGAAAGGGAGACACACTGAAGTGACGCTGCCTCTCCCGGCCACCCCCATCCTCTACCAGGCCCATCTGCTGTGCTGCCGGCTGCTGGGCAGCTGTACTTGAGTCCCCTCCTGTCCCCTTAGGTGGAGGCTGCACTCTGCTGCCCCACCTGTCTCTCTGGGATGTGCTTTTTGGAGTGATACCATTTTCTCAGTGTTTGATTGCATCATCAACCACACTACTCACCAGAACTTTCATGAGCACAAGCATTCACATAGGGATATTGCTCCTTGACTTGTAACACTGAAAACTGTTTTTTTAAATGAAAGAAACTAAACTTATACGTAAAGGTCATTTTTGGAATGCTCCCTGGCTTCTCTGTGGATGATGGACAAGCCTGGCGGTGCCTGGTCAGATGCCCACGGGCAGATGCAGACCTCACCTGGATGAGGGAGCGCATGTTGGCAAAGTGGGTGTCCATGGCGCCCCCATTGGGGAAGTTCTGGCTCATCCTCTTCATGAGGTGGCTGAAACAGCTGTAGGCCAGCTGATCTGAGGGGAGATGGGAATGTGGCTTCAGGGCAGGAGACCCCAATGCCTCACTTCACAGGGGGTGTCCTGTGGCCCAGAGGACAGGGCTGGTTTACATGCCCACCCTTCCAGACCTAGTGGTCTGCTTTTCCTTTCTCCAGCTTATGTCAGCTCAATCCAAACACCATTTTGGGAACACTCCCCACTACCCCTGCCCCCAGCCCTGTCCCTCACCATTGTCAAGGATGACCAGGAGAGGTGCCAGCAGGTCGCACATGCCCTGCACATAGCCCACATCCAGGTGTTCCCACACGTAGCTGAAATGCCAGGGACAGAGTCACTGTGGGTATGCACCATCCTCACCTCCCCCTGGGGAGATGGCCCCTAGAGCAACCTGCTACCCAGAAGCCAGCCTTTTTGCCATCCTAAAGCCCTAAGAGTATGATGGTGAACCCCATAGCCCGTGTTCCAGGCCCTCAGGGGCTCAGGGAAAGAGCCAATGAACAGGCTGTCACTGCTTGGTATGCTGGGGTGAGGGAATTCAGCTAACGCTTTCTGAAGAAGTATGGCCAAAGCTGAGGACTGAAAGACCTTTAAGAATGAAGAGGGGTGGGGTGGGGGACACTGCAGGGAAAGTGTTCTAGACAGAGGTAGCCAAGTGTGAGGAAGTGCAGGGGAGAAGAGCAGGGTGCCTGAGGGGCTTAACCTTTCAGAGCAGGGTCCTTGCCTCCCACCCCGAGCCCTGCCCTACAATGGCACCTGCACATGATGTCTCTGAGCCTCTCGAGGTTGGGGGGCGTGAAGTACCAGTAGTTGCGGTCACATCGCTGCACATCCTTGTCTATGCGGTGCAGATTTAAGGCCACAGTGTCCAGTATTTCTATCTGAAAGAGTGGAGGGCCCTCAGGGGTGAGCTGGGGGCCGACGTGATGCCCACATAAAGGAATGCAGCAAAGGCAGGGAACCAAAGGACTCAGAACAGAGTCCTCTGGGGATGCTGAGAGATAGGCTCAGTGGCCCCCTCCAGGACAGTCAGGGCACCCCCACCTCCCACCCACCGGTGTCTACCCAAGCCTTGGAATGTCAGAAGGGCCTCTGGGGCCAGCTGAGAACAGTGCCTCAGGATCGTCCACATACAGTGTAGGCAGCAGCACAAACAGCCGCAAGCTCCTCCCCTGCCTCCAGCTCGCTGGGCCGCGAGGTCTTCTCCTGGTTGGGATCTTGGGGCTCGGAGAAAGCGTGGGCTGCAGGAACTGACCCATCAGAGCCTTCTTCCCCACCGCCATCCTCCTCAAAGCCCACACTCTGCCCCTCATCTATGCTCGACTGGATGCCTGAGGTCACAGAGTAATTGCGAGAGGAAGGCAGTCCTGAGTCGGGAGAGTCAAACTCCACTGACTGCTGCTGTTCCACCACCGCGGTGCCCGGGGACCCTGCTCCTGGTTCTTGCTCGGGCTCTGGTCTGGAATCTTCAGTGCCTGGGGGCCTTGGGGGTTCCAGGTCATCCACAGAGATAAACACCTGGTGAGGGTGAACAGAGAGTGGGGCTCACAGCTGCACTCCAGCACCTTCCCTCTGCTTGCCATTTCCTTCCTGGGGTCAGAACAAGAGGGATGGAGAATTCTCTTCACATCCCCTACTCCCACCTCATGGCCTCTAACACTGTCTCCCCTGGGCACCAAGCCTCCCCTTCTGACGCAGCTGACCAAGTGGGGAGAAATCATGCTCTGGGCAAACATGAAGACACCATCTTCAGCCCTATCCAGTCCTCCACCTCAGGCCTCGTCCTGGGGTATGAGAAAAAGTGTGAAGCACTCCAGACCTTCCTGGGGCTGCTCTGGGAAGAAGGGGAACCAGAGGCCTGGACACTTGACGGCCAGTGTGAGCTAAGTGTAGTTTTAACAACACCTGAAGTCCCAGGGCTGCCTCAGTTCAGGAGAGCTTCGTTAAAGTCTTGGTGTGGCCACTGGGCAGCCTGGGGGGATGGCAGGCTGGAGGTGTCAGGAAAATAAGTTCTCCCTTATTTTCAGTACTCTGAATGTTCAGCAGAACAAGGCAGGAGACTTCTCTAGCAAGCACTTAACCAGTTATACTAGTTTCAGACAAGCTGAGGAGAGGCAAGAAGTGAAAGGAAACATATTCTACTGATTGGAAACAGTCCACCACCCTAGACAAGTCACAGGGAAAATGAGACAGACATATACAGATTGTTTTCTTTTTCCTTTTCTATTTAGACTATGGAGGGAAAGGGATACTAAAAGGAGTTTCCACTTTGGGCAAGAAGCATGAAGTTTTGGGTTAGCGGCAGGTAAGGCCACGATTGTACAGCAATCTAGAGCCTCAGAACAGTGCCAGCGAGGAGGGCCCCTGCTGTCCGTGAGCTAAGCAGTGGTGCACTGGTACACACTCAGGATTTTATGAAACCTAAAGCCAGAGAGAAAGAGACTATGTTCCAGAAAAGAGGATTAAGGACAAAGCACATGAAGAGGAGAGTGTGCCTTAGTAGTTATATTTCTTTAAGTCTTGCTCTAGCTTGAGTTTTCCATTAATATTAGCAAAGATTTATTAAAGTAACAAGAATATATGTGATCTAAAGAGGCTATTTTAAAGACTTTATTTTTCCTTTTTCACGCCAAAGCCACCCGGTACATAGTTGTGTACTTTTAGTTGTGAGTGCTTCTAGTTGTGGCATGTGGGACGCCACCTCAGCATGGCTTGATGAGTGGTACCATGTCTGCACCCAGGATCCGAACCAGCGAAACCCTGGGCCACCAAAGTGGAGCACGCAAACCTAACCACTCAGCCACGGGGCCAGCCCCCTAAAGAGGCTATTTTAAAGAAAAAAACCTAAGTTAATAAAAGAATGTCCTTAAAACTGAAACTTTTCAGCTCTGGTTGGGCCTAGCAGCCACGGTTTGGGACTTGCTGTTCAGCTAAACACAGAGTCGATGCCAGGAGAACTACTCAGGCTCTCAACTGGTTTTGCATAGTCAATTCTATAAGGTGATGGAAAACATCATGTGGGAGGGGAGATCTTGCCAGTAAACACAATGGGACCACTCTAAAGCTCTCCTGGTCGCTGGCCAACAGCTCTCAGTGAAGCCTCTACAATCAGAGGATAGCAGAGCCGAAAGGAGACACTGAGACTCAGAGATGGGAAGAGAAGTTATTCATCTTGTCAGTAGTGGGTGTGGGACTAGAACCCAGGGCTGCCTGTGCCTAGCCTTGAGGTCTCTCTACAAGGAGGGAGGGCTTCCCTAAATCACAATAAATCCATCTTTCCTTGTTAGTATATTAAAATAGAACACAATGTACTATCTCATTTTATTCCTGCAATACCCAGAGAAGTGGGCAGCAGGGAGACAGTCATCCCATTTTTCCCTGGAAGAAAATGAGACACAGATACATTAAGCTATTCTCCTAGGGCTCCACTGCCAGTGAGGACTAGAGGTCAGGCTGGTGCTCAGGACTCTTGCGTATAAAATACTGGTGGTCCCTGCCCCAGCACCCCCCAGGTCCCGTCTGGCTCACGTCATTACTGATGGTGGAATCTCGGTGGATGAGGCGCTGCACGTGGCTGTCGATGCTGCTGCCTGAGGAGAACTTGGTGAGTGTGGCTGGGTGAGCCTCCCGCTCCCGCTGCCTCACCACCACCTCGCAGGCCTTCCACTCTGCCAACACGCGCTGGTACCTCGCTGCCACCGCTGAGTCCACCTGTACTCAGACCACACCATGACCATGGAGGGAGAGGTGCACCAGGCTCTCCTCTGTAGCTGTCCTCCTGGGACACCTGGAGACTAGGGTCGGGCCTAGGGGTGAGGACGGTGGGGCTGCTCTCCTAACACCTTCCTCTGCCATGTTTCTTTCTGGCTGGGAAGAGGCTGAAGCTTCTGAGACCCCACCTGGGGGTCCCTTGGCCTGGCTGCCCATCTCCCTATCTTCATGGGATCAGGCTCCCCTTACCTCTTCCATCTCCTTCTTGCTCATGCCAAACTTGTAGTGGCCAAGCAGAAAGGGCCAGACGTCCTTGCGGATCTCATGCTGCACGCCTCCGTAGTAAACTTGCCGTAGCAGCTCCAGCTCTTTGTAGTTCTGAGGGACCCAAAGAGGAAAGACTGTGCCTGCCATCACTGCGGCCAAGCTAGGTGACCCCATCCCAAAGAGAGCTAGGGCTGGAGACAGTGATTCAGTCATTCCGTTGAAGCCCAGCAAACCCTTCTTCAGGGTAGTCATGTCCTCTCCACTCCAGATTAGACCTGGATGAGATCTATTTCAACCCCATCCCTTCTAGGGCAGGCAGTGGAGTCCAGAGAGACACAGATTTGCCCAAGGTTGTGGAGTAATGTGGAAGCAGAACGGAACCAGTCCAGCCCTGTCCCATGGAAACCCACAGTCCCAGCTGTCTAAGATCCTATGGTGACCTGGGCCACTCCAAGACCATCAGTCAACCATGACCCTACTACATTTTATCTGAATGCCCATTTGGTCTGTGGAAGCTGCTCCCAGAGCAGGTTGCTCTGCACTCACTGCTGCACCTCCAGCCCCTTGACCTGGCCTCTGGCACCAGCCCCCCAGAGTGTGCACCTTTTCATCCTTCTGATACTTGCTCCACACATCCTTGGTGAGGCCCCCAGAGGCCCCTGGGGGCCAGGTGGGCGGGATGATGTTGTGATGCACCAGTGCTGACAGGTGGGTCCGCACCGTGGATAGGTGGCGGCAGTAGGCCAGCCCTGTGGAGTCGGGGGAGCCAGGAGGCTGTGACCACGTGGTTCCCCCAGCTCCCACCCCAGCCCCTCGCAGCCCCACCTCACCCCACACTTACAGCCATAGAAGGCTCGGGACACAATCTGCCTCTTCATGCTCTCACACAGTAGCCTGAGTGGCAACCTGTGGAAACAACTGGGCTCAGAAGAGAGGGGCCTATGGCCCCTCTGGTGGGAGGAGGTTGAAAATGAAGGACATTCTGGCTTGGGAGCAGGTAAGGCACTTGGAGTGGTACAGGGAGCAGGATCCACATCCCTGTCCCTGCCAGCCACTCTGGGTAGAGCTCCCAGGGCCCCAGCCTGGTCCCCAACCACCCAGGGGAACTTGGGCAACTAACTTCACTTCACATTAGTGAATTTTGGTTTCCTCATGTGAAAATGGAGAGAACCATCTCAGGGTCATCAGGAATAAGAGGTAAAAAATGAAGTAACAGGTAAAAGAAAGCAGCCAGCAAAAGCATCAAGTGCTGGCACATGACCCTCATACAAACGCCATTCACATACTGTTCCTGGCACATGGCAGATGCTCAGATCTGTTGCGTGTCCTTAGACGTACAGCCTAATGGAGGATCTACATCCATGTTGGGAAGAGGAGCTCACAAGTCCTGAGCACCTACCATGTGCCAGGCCCAGCTCTGGGTGCTCACATGGGTTACAGACCTCATTTAGTCCTCACAGGTACCTTAAGAAGCAGGTGGCATTATCCCCATTTTACAGATGAGTAAACTGAGGCTCAGAAACGTAGAACCTCATAGAAACTCAGTAATTTGCCAAAGTCACATGGGTAGCAGGAGTGAAATTCAAACCCATGTCTGTCCAACATGAGGCCACCCTGTCAGGCAAGTGACACAGCCCCTAAGGACAGACTGATACACGCACAAGAACAGACACACCCCCAGGAAGCTGGTGTTCCAGGCCCTGCCCACTCACCGGTCGGGGACACAGCTGCAGTGACTGGGGGTTGCATATGGGGAGCTGCTGGTGGAGCAGGAGGGGCAGGAGGAGCCCTGGCTGCACAGGGGCTCCAGGTGCCAGGCTGGCAGGCTGGGCCCAAAGCCCTGCATCTCGATCATGTCGACAGCATCTGGGGGCAGGAAGGGGGCCATGGTGAGGGCTTGGCAGGCCTCCTCCCCTAAGCACCCTGCAGCATGTCCACCTCTGTGCCCAGGTGTGAGCTCTGGGCTGTAGCATGAAGCCACCCATTAGTGGAGAACCACAGGAATGCTGCCTGCTTGGTTCAGAGCACAGAGATGTAAACGGTGGAGAGGGAGGGTGCCTGACACTTCCCAGCCTCCACCGAGTCTTTCTGTACATGATGAAATACTTTGACCGACTCGTGGGTGACTGTGTCTGTTCTCTCCATCTTGTTAACAGCAATGGAATAAACACTAGAGGGAGAAGAAAAAAAGAGAAGGAACAACAAAAGCCTGAGCTCTCTAAATGCCGCCAGCTAGCTTGGCCTTTGAGGATTCAGCCTGGTCCTCTTGGGCAAATTCAGATTTGCAGGAAGATGCCCAAAACACTACAAACTTTGAATCTTCTCAAGCCAGGGTTCTCTATCGATCAAAGCCCCCGAGGGACCCCAGGCACCTGTCCTCCTGTCCTGGCCCACAGTGGCTAGTGGCTAATGAGGAGCAGTGCTCCCTGTCCAGGCCAAGCGCCCCTGCTGCCAGCTCGCATGGGTTCCTCTTGAGTTCTCCATCCTTGCCAAGCCTGACTGCACTCAGCACGGTGGCCTCCTACAAACACACAGGGGACCTGGCAGGAAGGGCAAAATTCCCAGGGGTGTCAGGCCATGGTGGGGATGGAGGCGGTGGCTGGGCACACAGCTCCACCATCCACAAGAATGCGTCCAAGTGGAGCCTCAGAAAACAGCTCCTTGGACACATCTACACCACCCGCAGACGGAGCCTTCTCAGCCAGCCCAGCTAGTCTGAATCAGACCTCGAGACCCTTGAGAACCCAAGCGGGGCAGGGCATTGCTCATGGGGGACCCTGGCAGGTCCAGTGAGCCACGAAGATGAAGCAAAGTGAGGGCAGGCTGTGAAAGGACTAGGAGATGACGTCAGGAGGGAGAGAGAGCAGAGAAGAGCGAAGAAGAACAAGGAAAGAAAGCTCTGTGTGTGTGAAGAGACTTCTTTCAAGCAGTACTTTCTTCTGCAAACCATGGCCTGGGCTCTGGCCTGCTATGAGTCTGGAGCAGACCTTGGCCTGGTTTTTGTGGGAGCTAGACTCCAGCTCTGGGTGTGTCTCAGTGGGCAGGGCTGAGCTGAGCCCCCTCCAGGCCCTTTAGGGGCTGCTCTGTCTTGGCCCCAGGGCTCTCTTCCCAGACCCATGGCTAGGATTATTGTAGATATCTGGCCCTTCAGCTCCACCAGGAGGCAAATTAAGGGAACATACTTGGTGCAGCTCTGGGAGTGAGGGGTTGCAAGCCATGCCCGAGACTCTGGGAAGAGGGAGGGGACAAATGCAGGTGGGGTAGGGCAGGAGCCCAGCTCATGCCCCTGCAGCAGGCAGGAGAGGCCAGTTGCGGGAGGCACCAGGCGGGGAGCAGGCCCAGGCAGGCAGCAGGCAGCAGGTGGGCACGCAGGGAGGGGTGACAGGTGCAGAGGGTGGAAGGTGGGCACACAGGGAAATGAGCTCAAGCCCAGAAAGCAGGGCCCAACCAAGGCAAGTCTCCTGGGTCAATGCTCTTCACCTTAATTCTCCAGGAAGGAGCTGAACCAGCCAGGCTTGAACACTGCATCTCTGAACTAACCCAGTGCAGACAGCTGGAGCTCTGGAGTGACTGGGTAAGGGGCAGGAGGCTGGACAAGGGGTCTGCTGGGCCAGCTTTGACTCTGACTCTCTCCTCTGAGCATGAGGAAAGTTTGAAACAAAACAATCAGGGTGGTTGAACCCCACAGTCCCTAAGACTCCGAGTGAAAGGTGCCTGGCCTGGAGCAGAATTAGAGTGAACAGCATCTCTGCTCTGTGGGGAGGCAGCAGGAAAAGGAGGGGACAAGGGGAAGGAGAGGAGAGTCTGGACACCCGCCACTTGGTTCACATGCGCAAGTCAAGCATGTTGCAGGCCTGAAAAGCAACAGCTAGCAGAATGGACTCCACAGTGTTGTCATTATGGACTGGAGTGGAGGTGGGGGCTCCCACACCATCTTCCCAACCACCTGCTGTTCTGCTCATACTTCTTCCCCTTTCCCAAGTATTGGGGGCCCAAGGGCTGTCTACTGGATTGGTCTGGCCCCCAAGTTACCCAAGAGGATGCTCAGGCAAGCCCTGAGGCCTCTGGATCCTCTGGGCCTAGAGGTTTCTCTGACCCAGGAGGCTTCAGCCCTAAGATTAGTCAGGGATGGAATTCCTATCGCCAAGTCTGCCAAGACAGGGGCTCTGCTGGAACACGTCCCACCCCCGGCCCTAGTCTCCAGCCTGACTGCCAATTTGTGGGGTAGGAAGGGGCTTCCTGGCCTTGCTTGGACTCAGGCTTCCCACATATCAACCCCAAGCCCAGGTTTTCAAGGAACCAGACAGCAGGCCGTGTGCAGGCAATAAACATCAGAAGTGAGGCTCCCCTGAGTTCCCTGCCCCGGGCTGGCCTGCAGGTCCTCCTGGAGGGGCTGGGAGGGAGGGGAGGCACAAGGGCAGGCAGCTGGTGGGTAAGGGAGCGACTGGCAGGGTTGTGCTAGGTGTGTTCTAGACCAGGGACTTGGTTGCCAGGGACAAGGAGACTACTACTGGCTTGGTGGCTAGGCTAAGGTACTGGGCTCTGTGGCAGAACTTTGTGGAAGCAAAAAGGAGGGTCGCATATTCTTAGACACCCTCTGCAAGGGCAGAGAAAGGGGAGAAGAAATTAATTCTGTGGCAAGGGAATGGGTGGGGATGGGGAAGTTCCCCTAAAGTCTAAGAGAGCTGGCCTCAGCCCTTCCTGACCCATCTTCCTGTGAGCACCCCAGCCCAGCCCTCAGGGTCCCCTGGCTAATCACTTTCCAGAACACAGAGGGGTTCCCTCTCCACTAGCCTCGCTCTGTGATGAGAAAGATGGGAGGTGAGCAGAGGAACAAACGCTGAGGGGTGACGGGCACTGTGCTGTGCTGTTTATGATGAAGGGACTGCTGCAACCATGGACTCAGGTCCGTGAGGGTGGGAACACACCTGTCTTATATCTTAGGCACAGATATTTCTAGATCTCATGTTCAAGCACCAGGTGGTGCCTTCTGGAGCCCTCAGGCCTGCTAGGTAAACTGAGTCCTGGGTCTCTTTCCATGGTGGCCCCAAACTGTCACCTGACCCACAGGACTCATCTGCACGAGCTGTCCAGCCCCTATCCCTGGCCAGGTGGGGCCTGGTACCTCTGTCCTATTTCCATTAAGTCAGGAGTCAGAAGCCCAGGACCCAGAGGCCGGTCTTCCCACCAACAGGAGACAAAGAAAAAGACAGTCTTGGGTTTGCCAGCATGACTCCCAGGAGTGGGAACAAGGCTCAGAGAGCCAATCAGGATTCCTAAGAGGCAACCTGATAATCAGACCTTCCCACCAGCAGATCTCTTCCCTCTCAGGCTTGAAGGCTTCTCCTTACAAACTCCATGGGGAGCCCAGAGCCCCCTGTTCTTTGTACTGTCCCCTCTTCTTACCAGCGCCTCCTTCTGCCCTCCCTGATCTGCCTCCTGATGAAAGGGAACCACTCTAGCTGCAAGTCCCATAATGCCAACACTGCCGTTTGAGCCCCTGCAGTGGGTGGCAGGTGGGCCAGGGGGGTGAGGCAGGGGATGGGGTGGGTCAGAGAGAGGGTGAGGGATAAAAACCTTTCATCGGATTGGGAGCTGTGAGGTTCCGCGAGCAGATCATTGAGAGCATCGCGTGTAGTTTATCCTCCTCTTCCTCATCATCGTCCACCGAGGCCGCGCGGCTGGCCGCTAGGTGGTGGTAGTTAATAGTGACTGCTCAAAGAGAATAGCGAGAGAGGCAGAGGCATGAGGACCCTGCTCCCAGGCAGGAGGGACCGGACTCCCTCCTTATGGGGAGCGGACTGGAGTCTGGGTCACCTTGAGCCTGCAGGGCATGGAAAAGGGGAACAGAGGACCTGAGTGTCTTTTGATGATTTACCGGGGAGAGTGTGGAAGAAAGTGAGGGGACGGCGGCAGCTACAGGGCTCCACTCTTTGGAGGAGGCCCTCTCTGGAAGAACGGAAGAGAGAGAACTGATGCGGGTAGTGAAAGATGGGACCGGTTGGGACAGGCCAGCAGCTCAGATGCTCCCCAGCCCTGGGCAAGGCTGGGCATGACTGTTGGCAGACGGATCCTGATCGTTCTTCAGCTTGTGTCATGATCAGGCTGGACCACACCTGAAGATTACCCTAAATCCCTCCTTTCAGACTGTAAATCCAAATTTCTCCTCCAAGGGTTTCCAAGAGCTGCTCTCAAGAAGCCTGAATCACCTGCTGGGTTTCAGCTCCTTAGTGCCCTGGCTCGCCCTCCCAGGGTAGTGTGGTCCTTAAAGTAAAGTAACCAAAATTGGGAAATGCCAAGGCTTGAAGAGGGGAGTGGAGACCAAATAATCTAAGCAAAGCAGCAGCCAGCAATTAAATGCCAGGTTTCCAAACACGTTCTGGCAAAAGATATGTCTCCTAGTCAGGCAATCTGGGAGGGGAGGGAGATCCCCATGTCTTGTGCCCTCCAAGCCTGTTAGCGCCACTGTGCTGTGGCTGTGTGTTTGCAGTCTGAGTAATGTGTCTGCTAATATGGAGACGACTTGTTGACAACCTATTGGCACAAGTTAGGAAATTTAGGGAGCAGGTGGTCTGGTTGGCAATAAATGCTCTGGACTGGCAAATTCCCTGACCTCATCCTGAAGATCAGTGAGTCTGGCCCAGAGAAACCCATGGAGAGCAGCAGCATTCTGACCAGAAAGGGAAGTCTAGAGTTGGTAGATACCTACAGACAGGCCCCCTCGGGCCCAGGAGTGTACATCCAGGCAGGACAGGACCCATAAGAGCCAAACCACCTTTCAGCCCCCTGGGCAGCTCCAAGTCTCACCCTCTTCAGATGCACCCCCTACTCCAGCCAAAGCTCCTCTCATCACTAGCCGGTTTGACAAGGGTCTGGCTCTAGTGCAGTCAGTGAACAGTTTGCACCATCCGAAAAGAAGCATTGATCCCACACACAGGCCGCCCTGTGGAAGTCAGGCGGCAGGCTGAGGAGAAATGGAGAGTTCTCCACCTTCTATTTCTAGTCTTGTCACTTTTTTTTTTTTTTCCTGGGGCAGTGCATGAAAGGATGCCTAAGAGAATATTATACAGTGATGCCTGGATCTGCCGAGCCAAGATTCTTGGGTGACGAGGTAGGGGGAAGACTGCTAGGTAGAAGAAAGGCAACTTTTCAGAGGGATGACTTGTGGGTAAAAGGTCCAGCTGAGGGGCTAAGTAAGGACCCTCTTGTCTTGACCTGGCCTGGTCAGTGGACTCTGCCTGCTGCCCCTCCTGGGTGACGCTGCACTCCCCCACCTCCCTGAGCGTCTTTCTCTCCTCCTCCATGATGAAGTTTGAGATACTCACTGTGCTCGTGCCTGTGGCCAGGGTAAATGATCCGGAACACGTAGTCTGCGGCCCGCCCCACGCCCATCTCCTCCATGTCCACGGACCGCATGCTGCTGCGCTTCCGCAGCTTGGGGAACACCTTACCCTGTGGAGGGAGGGTGGGTGGGCAGCCTGTCCAGAGCAGAGTTTGACCCAGGGTCCCACCCAAGGCTGTTCCTAAGAACTCCATGCGGGGAAAGGAAGAGAGGTGGGCAGAGAACCCACCTCACACATCTCCTCATCCAGAGCCTCCCAAGCCCTGAGGTACCTTCCCCTGCTGGGTCCAGAGCGGGGGCTCTAGCTGTCCTCGAGGCAGAAGCCCATTCTCCAGGCAAGACAGAAAGGACAGCAGGTGTCCTCCCTGTGGGAAGTGCAGCGGTGGCCTCTGGATGCCATCCTGGCTCACCAGCACAAGCGTGCCGCCGCTCTCTGTAGGGTGAACATGGGCGAGTGAGGCCAGGGCCTCCCGGAGACCTCTTGGCCATCACCAGAGGCCAGTTGGCCAGGCCCCCAGGCTGGGTAGGACAACAGTGGGGCTGAAGAAGCATGGGGACAATGTGAAGAGGACGAGATGTCCATGTACAATGTGCAGCCGGGAGAAGACAGTCTCTTTCCCCTCATCCCTGCGCCCAAGAAAGGGAGGCTCACTTTGCTGGTGGCAGTGGATGCAGACAATCTGACTGAAGGGCACAACGAGGGCATAGTCCCAGTAAACACTAGAAAGAAACCAGATCAGTGTCACTGTATTCCAAGACCTGCCATCCCGCCTTCCTCATCTCCTGGCCCCAAGACCCATGAAACTACCCTGAAATAGGATGATTATAGCTGAGAAGTGACCTCAGCCAGCCATGTCCCTCTGGGCCCCATGCTGTCTTCATGGCACGGAGCCTGGCAGTCTCAGCTGCCTAGAGCTTGGCTCAGGTAAACCCTTCATGACCAGGCCTGGCTTGATTTTAGAGAGCTTGGGAATCTCTCCAGGCAGCCTCTCCCTGTAATTCTTGGCATCCAGATAAAGAGTGAAGCCTGCCTCCTGGAGCAGCCTGGGTCTCTACATCCCCCTGCTTGGGGGCAAGTCCCCACTCCCTTCCCTGGCTCCTGGGAGCAAGTCCTAAAGCCCCCACCTCTTTTCCAGCTCGGAGTCCCCCAGAGTCCCGTTCATGAGCTGGTTGGGGGTCCACTTCAGAGTTAGGCTCTCTGCAGACTGGTGAAGGGAGAGGTAGCCAGGGACAGCCTCCATGTCCTCCTTCTACAGGGAGGAGACACGCCAGAAGACAAGAGATGATGAGGAGCTGAGAGGCTCCCAGGGATGGCCGATGGAAAAAGAGCTCCAGGTGGGAGCAGAGGAGGCCAAGCTAGGGCAGTCACAGGGTCCTGGACTGGGAGTCAGGCAGAAGCAGGGGAGAACCTGAGCCACACACAGATCTGGGCATCTCTCCCTGGCTGGCCTGGTGCCACTGGCTGTGTCCTGTTGGCCTCCTGGATGCCAGGTGCTCCAGCTTACCCAAGCTGGGCATTCACCCTGCCTGCTGGCTGCCCTTTCTGCCCCTGGACGGCCTGGTTCTCAGCCAGAGCACATGCCAGTCCTGGCTCCCGCCAGCTCAAGACTAGGCATGAGGCGTATGAAACAGTGAAGTGGGGGGCAGGGCCCTTCTCCCCCTTCTGTCTGGTCAAGCCCCTGAGGAAAGAGACAGATGCGGCCAGAAGGATCCAGTCCTGGGGCCTTCAGAGGAGGGAGATAAGGGGTGGGCATTAAGCTTTCCTACCGGCTGCACCAGCACGTTGTTCTTGCCATAGAGCAGCCGCGTCCTCGAGTTCTGGTGTAGGGACTCCACATACTCGCGGGCACAGGCAGCCAATCTGTCTTCTGCAGAGCTGCCACTTGAGTGACGCTTCCGGATCTGTGCAGCAAGTCACAGCTCAGCCCCTAGCCCTGGGAAATCAGCCTTGGGGGTTAAGAACCCTAGGATTCCAGGCAGACCCTCTCTAGCTGACCCTGGGGGTCCATCCTGCCCCTCGTTTGTTCTCAGCCACCCTGTGCTCTCCAGACATGGACCAGCTGTGTGCTCCTGGCATTGATGTAAGTGCTAGTGTGGGGAAATGGCTCTCCTAGGGTGGCCACTACCATGGGGCATCTCTAAAGAACAGCCTATGTCTGCAATGAGCACAGAGGCCAGCTGCCCCTTCCTACAGGCCCATGGGCATCCTGGATGAGCACAAGGGTTGGGGAGATGGACACCCACTCCTAGGGCAGGGCGCTTTGCAGGGAAGTCCTGGCGATTAGGGGGACCCCGGATACGGTGCCTCTGGACCAGCTCGTCAGCAGAGGGATCCGTCCAGTAGTGATCGGCTGTCTTGAGCTTGGTGTACTCCAAGGCACAGGGTCCCACTGTGGAGACAGGGACAGCGAGCTTGTATGGTGCCCCCTCAGCACCTGCCCCTCCGCCCCCATTGGCCCAGCACAGGCTCTCAGGCTCACCTAGAAGAGAGGCCAAGATGGGGCCAAACACAGGGTCTGCCAGTAACGCCTCCTTCTCATAGTACTTGCTGCAGGGGGAGAGAGACAGGGGACTCATTCCAGGGCGGTCAAGCTCACCATATGAGAACATCCCCACAAAGACCAAATCCATGTCAGTCACCAAGAAGAAATGAATCTATAAGGACTGAGCTTTGTGGGGTGCCTGGTGTGGTCCATGCTTTCAGAGGGCTACAGAAGGAGATGGGACACACCTATAGACTGCCGTGGACAGCCCAGCATGCTGAGGGGTGGGCTGAAGGACTGTTCAGGAGGTGGGCCCCAGGGAGGGCACTCACCTGCAGTTCTCCACCAGGTACTGCACAACCCTGTCCAGCACTTTCTCAATGAGCGCTGTGCGTACCCACACGTGTTTCAAGGCCTGTGGGCTGAGGGCCGGGGCCTTCCCGCTGGCAGAGGCTTGTCTTCGCAGGGCCTCTTGGCTGACCCCTGAGGCCTTCCTACAAAGAGGGGGTGGGCTTCAGGAATGCAAGGGCGTGAGGGTGTAAGCACCAGACTGGTGGCACTGGGAGTGGGGTTTGGTGCCACAAGGTGAGAACCCAGAGGACTGACTGGGATAGGGGTTTAAGGTGGGGGATAGGGCCTTGTGCCTGAAAGAGACCAACTCCCACTCTTAGGCTGGTTCCTCACCCAAGAGGCCCTGCAAGAAACGGGCCCAGGAAGCCAGCCTGGGATGTAGCAAATGCTAAGTGAAAAGAACAGGGGGAAAGCGGGGGGCAGGGAGAGCCAGCCCAGGGCTCACCTGCCCTCTACTTGTTGCTGCAGCTCCTGTACCTTGTGGCAAATCTCCCCAGCCACTGGGCACGTCTTCCCCACCTTGGTGAACAGGGCCGCCATCTTGTCACTGCGCAGGAAGCCAGCGGCACGGCGTCTCAGCTGATGCAGAAGGCAAACCTCCACAGCACCTAGGCCACAAAGGGAACCAGCACCTGAGCCTGGGCAAGAGGGGGAAAGGGAGAGCACCCCTCTTCCTCATCCCTATGGACAGCAGAGGGGCAAGGGCAAGCCCTGACCCATGCTAGGCTACGGGGTGCGGGGTCATCTTAGGCAGGCCCATGAGATACCCTGACCTCCTTCCAAAATTCTCCTGTGGGGGCTTTGACATGCCACGCCGTCCCTCTTCCTCGCCTGTGTGTACATGCCTCCCGTATGTGACATCACCCCTGGGGTTGTGAGGACCAAAGCTGCCAGTTCCAGTTGGCATGGGTGGCTCCACCTCTGCCCACGAGGACAAACATGGACAGCACCTACAGGACAGGGGGCCAGGGAGCACACAGCCCAGTAGCCCTCCTGGAGAGCATGGATGATGTGGTTGCTAAGGAACAGGGCTCTGGAGAAGGAGCTGAAATATTGATGAAGCCACGGCAGAGATCAGGCCCAACAGCGGCCCCTGAACTAGTGATGAGCCCAACAGCCGACAATGAGAGATCTCTATTTCCCATGCCGGGAGGGCTTCCCTCCATTCATTTATGGTTGTAGGGGCTAGGCTTACTCTATCTGGATCATGCTTACCGCAGACAGATGCCACAGGAAGGAAAGAAGGGCTTATTTGGCGAGGGGAGGGAGTGGCCCTGGGCTTATATAGACTCTAAAATTATTAGCGTGTATATGTGCGGGAAGGAGGGGCTTCACCATTATTGAGGCCAAGGTGGTTGTTTTTTGTTGTTGTTTTTTTTTTTTTTGCTGAGGAGGATTCACCCTGAGCTAACATACATGCCAATCTTCCTCTATTTTTTAGTATGCAGGCTGCCAGCACAGCATGGCTGCTAACAGAGTGGTGTAGGTCTGCATCCGGGAACCAAACTCAGGCCTCTGAAGTGGAGCATGCCGAGCCCAGGAACCGAACCTGGGCCGCCGAAGCAGAATGTGCCAAACTTCACTAGGCCACTGGGGCTGGCCCCAAGCTGACTATTTTACAAGTGAGGAGGGAAAGGCTCAGAAAGGGGAAGGGATTTGATCACAGAAACATAGAGGCAGAGCCAGAACTAGGATCCACGGCCCTAAACCCTGGTAGAGCCCCTTTCACCTCCCCCAGGTATGTTGGGGGGGTACAGGTGGGAGGAGGTGTTTCCCTCACTTCACAAGCGCTCTTTTCACACAGAAGAAAACAGTACTGTGCTAGAGACCAGGATCTGAAAACCTGGGTGACATTACAAGAGGTGAAAGATGGAAACCCCTGGCCCCAGGGTCTGGCATGTAGGGCACTTGATCCATGTCGGTTCCTGGCTCCTTACTCCTTTTTGTTGAGATCCTGTTCTACAGCTAACCTGTAAGGGCTGGGTTTTTGCAAGACCTCTCCCTGGCAGGGAGAAGAGAGGACACATTGGAGACAGGATCACAGGCTGCCCCAGAGGTAGATGGAAATGCTGTTCTCTTAGAAACATGGGAATCAAGGCCCCGTCAAGTTTATTGTGACTAATGTAGTTAAAATATGAAACCTGGACTTAGGAAATAATCACTGGAAACAGTTTCTCACCTGTTTTTTGCCTTCATTTTTAGTAACTGACAGCCAGTCACTGCTGTCCCATAAGTTTTGTTTGGCTCTCTTGTACTGAAGTCAGGAAGCTGGAGAGTCCCTGAGGCCAACCTGGAAGCCAGCCAGCTCAGTGGGAGCTCGCAGGGGAGGGGAAACAACGCAGGACCCCTCCCTCTCCCGGGAACTTCCTGCTGGAGCTCTTCCCTGCTCAAGCCTCAGAGGACTTTATTTTACCAGATGCAGCCTTTCTTTCACAGCGTGTTCACACGTCTGTGTCCACATGTGTACTCAAAGAGACCTACCTATATGGACCATGTGTGTATGGGGCATATGGGGGCATTGTACGACCCTGGGGTGTACAGGCAAGAGACCCTTTTGTCCCAGTCTCTTGGTCCCAGGGGTGCTGCAGCTACAAGTCCACATGTGTAGGAAGGGGGTCCTCATTTCTTGGGGTTGCATTCTCCAAGCAGAGCAGGAGAGAGGCAGCACTGAACACGGCTAGAATGGCAGCAGGTGGTGCCAGTCCTGCAGGGAATCATGTGCCTCCGTGATGTGACTAATTGCTGGGATAATGAGTCATTAGCCTTCCCACCTTCCCCAGGCGACTGCAAACGCAGCCAGGCTGGGGAGTCTGGGAATGGAAGGCAGTGGCATTCCCATCCCACTTGGCCTCACTCACCCTCCCAGGCAGGCCCTGAGCATAGGCCTCGGGGTTCTCTAGGGTGAGAGGAGGCATTCCTCAGCAATTACCGCAAGTAGGGAATATTGAGAGCAGCGCAAACAGCACACCCAGTCCCCCCTGCTCCGCTCATGGCCCCTAAGTTCCTTCTGTGAAACCCAGGCAAGGTGTCAGGTAATGCCTGGGGAAGGAGAGATCCCTCTCATCCCTCTACTTTCCAAGCAAAGTAAATGATCTTCTAGGCCAGATATTCTTAACCCAGTTCCCTGGGCTCCCTGGCTAGTGATTGTTCAAACTACACTTGTCCTTCCCCATTCCTACAGGGCTGTCCCCCACAAAGAATCAGCAAATGCAATGAAAAATGTTATTGTGTGCAGTGTGTAGGCAAAATAAGAATATAAGAATAATAACAACACTAATAATAATTGAGAACTACTATACTAAGAGGATTTGTTGATGGGATTCTGGGGCACCAAGGACCCCCAAAACTGCATACAAAATTGTTGGTGTGCTCCAGCATGCTTAGGTGAGTGCTTTTTTCTGGATAGAGGATCTATGGCTCTTAGCTTCTAAAAGAGACACCTGACCCCAAAATGTTTAAGAACCCCTGCTCTAAGACTTTCGGGTTGAACAGAAACAGACATTCCCACTGATCAAAACTCTGAGATGCAAACATAAAGGCTCTCCCCTCTGCCCTCCAATATACAGTGACCACAACACTTGGAACCGCAGTTGCAGAGCCACCGGCAACAACGTCCAGCTCTCCTGCTGTCCTTGCTCCCCAAGAAGGGCCCCTCACAGACTGTCAAGCACCCTTCCCCAGGGAGAAGTCCAGACAGAGGCCTTGTCTCCTGACTGAAGGCCGAGGGGACTAGGCAGGAGACTCTAGGACTTTACTCCCCTTCCTGCCCCAGATGGCCACCCTGACCCCATCCCCAAGAGGAAGGGCTGTGGCAGCTGATGCCTATCACAGCTAAAGCACCAAGTTAGCTGAACCCAGCCTCCTAACTGAGGTGTATGGGCCTTGGTCCCCCAGCCATGAAGGACTTAGGACCCCTGTCCCAGTGGGTGCCAGCACCACCTGCTGCCACTATGAATGTACCAGAAGAGGGATGAGAAAGCCCTGACATCCTTCAGCTCATTTCACATGGGAATGATGCATACTAAGTAATAGAAATCAATGTTTTTGGTCATTTGAGTGAATGAATTGAAACAGAGAAACAGAGACATGACTCCACAAACATGAGCCCCTCACTCCCTATCCTGTTCTTCTGGTGGCCTTCAGAGTTATGGTGCCAGATGAACGCAGGGTACTCTGTCATCCCATCCCACTGACAGTAAGGCTCAGGAAACTGCAACTCTGAGCCGACAGGAGTAGTACCAATTTAACTCTAGCACCGTACTGTGGACATCCCCCCTCCCCTAAAAGGCCTGGCACCATCTTCCCTGGGAAAAGCTGGGAAGTACAGGCCCAGACCAGCCCTGGGATTCTCCCTCACCAGCCTCTGACACGCCCCTAAAGTCTATTAAGTTATCGGACTTAACAAACGCTAAATGGGCTGGAAACCACAAATGGTAATGGAATGTGAAAGGACCTCCTCCCACAAACCCCTTCCATACTGATTTAACCATTCCAAGGAGTCCAATTTAGAATGGAGAAGACATCAGCAAGTTAGCGATGGAAGGGACTTGGGAAGTTACTGAATCTTCTCAGACCTTGCTGGAGGGAGAGCTGACTGGTATAGTCTCATGGAGGCAATGTGGCACTATCTATCAACATTGCAAATAACCTCTGAACCAGGAACCCCTCTTCTGAGAATCTAGCCTACAGATATAACTGCAGGGTTACATCATTATAACAGCAAAAGACTGGAAACTATCCACCTGTCCATCAATAGCGGACAGGTTAAGTAGAAAAGGTACATTCATACAGTAGAATATTAGGCAACTCTGAACAAGTATGAGGATGCTCTAGGAACTCACAGTGGAAAGGTCTCCAAAAGCAAGATGCAGAATGGTATGACTGCATAATACCTTTTGATTACAAAAAGGGTGGGATAAACAAATACAATGTTTTTTATTAGTATAAAAAGACTCTGGAAGGATATACAAGAAACAAAAGTGTTAGTGGTTACCTGTGGGGGAATTATTAAGTGGAGGGGGGGGTGGGTGAGTGGGGGCAGGGAAAGGAGTGAGACTTCTCACTGTATATCTTTTGTATAGTTTTGATTTTTGAACTAGGCAAATATATTACCAATTCAAAATAATACTTGTATTACTTAAGTAGGTGACCCTGGGGCTGGCTGGTGGTGTAGTGGTTAAGTTTGCATGTTCTGCTTCAGTAGCCCAGGCTTTGCCGGATCAGATCCCAGGCATGGACTTACGCACCACTTATCAAGCCATGCTGTGGCGGTGTCCCACATATAAAGTAGAGGAAGATGAGAAAGGATGTTAGCTCAGGGCCAGTCTTCCTCAGCAAAAAGAGGAGGATTGGCAGTGGATGTTACCTCAGGGCTAATCTTACTCCAAAGGAAAAAAAGTAGGTGACCACGTAACCCAGAAACCACTATTCCATCATGAGACGATGCCAGAGACTCTCTCCAACCTGGACGTGAATCAAAACTCACAAAACTCAGAAAAACTGAGTCTGTCCATGGGCACCCACTCCTTCACCAGCTCCCTCAGCAAATAGGGTCTCTCAATCGGCTTGCTTCCCCGCCTCCATAGGAGCACCTGGGCTCTGCCTAGGG